ACAATTAACTTCGCTGAGAGATGAGCTCCATAAATATCCAGTCTCGTAAGATAACCATGATTCGGCACCCAGCAAGGAAAGAAGCTTAAAACTTATATTTCATATGAACTTTGGGAAGAAAGGAAGAATCTGCAGGAAAGCATGACCAAGAACAGGAGTGAATTTGGCTTATTGCTGTTTTTGCACTTACGATCACTACATTTAACGAAATAGTCTTACGTGGATTCTCCGACGGTCATGATGGCTTAGTGCCGAGGCATTTGATGGATCCCATCCACCGAGTTCTCCATATCTCACCGATCTCCTTTGTACCACGTTATTCACAATTCTTAAGGCTGATTCTAAACTCTTTCCCTTTTCGCCCCCAGTCGAAAGCGCATATTTTGTCTTCATCCATAAGCTCACCTCTGACCCTGCTAACAATGTTACCGGAAAATTTTGTTTTTAGCATTTGCTTATTCTTATTTCTCAAGCATAAGCAGCACATTGTTGCACCCACTTGCGTTTCAAGTGAGTGTGTGATAACGAAACTCGAAGATCGGTTCCATCAGATGACGGCGGTTTCCTCTTGGCCAGATGTCGTTTGGCTTGAGTGGGACACATATATATAAGGAAAAGGTGGGTCTAAAAGATCTCTCAGTGAGCTAGGGTGACTCGACTTTCCATTAAGTTGGAAGGAATTCGTGAATTGGTCTCACCGGAAATAGAAGAAAGACCGCTTTGGAGCGAAAACTGTGGAATTGTACGAAGAAGTCATCAGCTCATCGTTATGAGAATCCAATGAACCTGTGCTAAGCTCTCGTTTGTTATCAGAACAAGAAACAATATTTTACGAAATAGCGTAACAATATACTAAATTTTTTCTCGTGGTTTAGTATATTGTATACTCTGATGATGCTTGTAAAATTACAGACAAAAGATTGGCACGGGTTCATCAGAACCGTAGGACGATGGGCAGATGACGGCTTTGTGCAACCCAACAGTCTCCAAGGCGATCATATTTCGGTTTCCGTTTCAACCAATTCACAAATTCCTTCCATCCAACTTTTTCTTCGAAATAGAAGGTTCAACCGCATTTACTGGAATATTCCTGCTGATTTTATCATCGAGGCAATCCTTCGATTTCATTGAAAACGTGCAAAGATTTCGTTCATCATGTGTCGAAAGTTTCTAGATAATGGTATCATACTTACAACCGTATTCAAGCTAATGAATCAATAAGGCTCAGAATCGAATAAGATTGCCTCAGAGACAGCGTCCGCAAGGATATTTCGCCGCCGTCTTCTGGCTGGATCGACCTACGAAACACTTCCCCAAATACTTTCACTCAAATGGGAAGTGAGTTCAGCAATAAAAAACTATGGGATCCCTTGCAAAACATTCCCTCCGGTTGCCAAGATCACATTGTAGCCACGGACCAAAAGTGGCTGAAACTGACATAAAAACGAAACTTTCATTTTTTGAGGATACATAGTGAAGATATCCGTAGGTCTATCTCACCAAAAAGGACAGCTGTTTCCCATTGTACTGCAGTCTCTTAGCCTTAATATGACGTTCAGGTTGACGCAGTCCAAGAAGCATCCTCCCTTGTTTCATATTAAAGCCAAACTGCAGCAGTATAACGATAATCGTCTGTCATTTTCTAATGAGACCGAACTTTGAATCCCTTTATTTTCATAGGAAATGAAAGTCTCCACAACAATTAAATCTCAAGAAATTCATCGAAATTTGCCTTTTCTTTGTATGGAAAGGTTTTTCCTATACGTCTTATTTAACCATACTATGAACGCCTCATCCTCAGATATATATTGCTAAGTGTCTACTCATGAGTCTTCTGGAGTGGAAAATCTTCTCAGTAGTTTCTCCATCTGGATTCATGCCCAGATGGACATGAATAAAGCTCGTTAAATTTAATTCATAAATTTAATTCATTAATTAAAACCATTTATCTAAAGTGCATAGCGAAATGAAATATATAAGACAAGAGAAAGTGGTATTGGCATCAGGTTGACAGATTCCACTTTTATTTCAGCCTTCACTGACAGTTAGAAGCATGCTTGTATACCAAACTTATTTCCTCACATGAATACGATAAGTTCTTTATTTCGAGCCATGCCTTGGTTCTACACAGCAGTTCATTATTATATCGAAATACTGCTTTCTTACGCTGACAAATGTCACCTAATGAAATTGTGAAATTTTACTACATTTTAGGGATAAAAGTTTTGTTGGCAGAAGCGACTTTTATTTGTTCTGCTACTAGCTGTTAAAACTTAAAAATATGGGTAGCAGGCCAAACGGCATCGGATTCGTATCTTCCTTGCGCGCGCTATCCCCTACGACATCTTCTATAGAATAATATGCTACCCATCACTGCAATGTTTTCCGCCTTATTCAAGTGCATTGTTTTTGTTCACAGTACAAATGACCCTTGCTGTTTTTGTCTACTCACATCCATTTCCAGGGCAAAAATCGCTAATCATCGTGAGAGCAAAAATGCTCGGAGAAGCTCCGTTTCACATCCATTTTACTATCACCGTTAAGCAAGCATAAAATATTGGAATATGCTCTTGCATCTTAAACATAAAAGCACAGAATCTTGTGTCCTGATTATCTCAATGCCAAGCGAGCTGCTGGCTAAGTGGCTTGCGTATAGAAGGAAAGGTGTACAAGACGGCCTCTTCGTTAACACTCGATGACCTAACTCTGGTCTCAGAGAGTTGGACTCAGGCTGGAATTAGTAGAAGCATGGATTTCGGGTATAAATAGTGCCTGTAATTGGTAGTTTTGGCCTGAGGACGGCCCACCTCCTCAGGTCTGATAGAATTACAAACGCATTTGTGAACACGCAGGGAGAAGGGGCTTAAAGTTAGAAAGAGGAGTACAAAAATAAAAGTAAGTATTTGCGGCATTTACAATCCAAGAGACAATTCTGCTTAAGTAAACCTGTACACTAGTACTTTATATTGTAATTTTTAAAAGCCTGCGCACATAAAGTAAATGCTTAGACGAATACAAGAAAAAAATTGGAAATTTCTAATGGTCATTGGAATATTGGAGTCTACACTCAACAACAACATTTTTCATACAAGCCTGGCGGAAGACATGCTTAGAGTATTATGTTATTTTTATTACCCTGAAAATATTCTGGGAAATCTAGCCCACTGTATCATCAGATATAGTAGCATTGGCACTACGTCCATGCGATAGAGAGGGAATGCCATAAAATCTCCTCCAGTAGTGCACACTGGAACACTGTAGAAGGCAAAGTCTACCCATGCTCTCATTCAAACGTCTAAGTACGAACAGCTATATGTAATCAATGCCTATAGCTCGGCAAGAGAAAACTTTGAAGGTACTTGACAGTGACTCTGTGGTCGTCCGAGTATTTGTAAACAAATATATGCCTCTGGTAAAATCTGCCAAAATATTGTGAAATAGTCCTCTGGGAAACCATGCAACCCGTTCAAATTCCGTTAGATATAGATTTACCTATAGTTCTGAAGTCGGTTTAATTATGGCGTTTTCATTAAAAAGTGGAAGAATTTTGGCTAAATTAGAGACCCACCACAAAAGGTACAAAAATTAAAATTTTTGTTTCGAAGCAGTTATTTGAGACTACTAGTAGATCATATAAATGAGATATATTAGCCCTAGTTCGTTTAAGTTTATGAAGGATTGATAGTTGAATTTTCCCACGAGTTTCTATTGAATTTTACATAACAATGTTTCATAAAAGGTATTCTCATCCAGTCAGGGAAGCGGAAGGCAGCTTTAACTTCACCTAGCTCTCCTCAGCACCCTCCGCGGAACTCGAACGCGGGAAGCGGAGGGTATAGTCTCGATGCGTTAACCAATATGTCTCACTGCCATGAATGCCCCTGTAATACAGGACAGATGAAAATGTCAAGGGGGTCTAGGCTTTTCCCTTGCCACATTTATATGGTGGGATTGTCGACGAAGCTAAGTTGTATTTGCTATAATGATCGACTACATTACTTATTTTTTCTTTGTAAGTCGGTTTTCGAGACTACAAGTAGAACATATATATATATATATAAGATTTATTTGCCATATTTCGATTAAGGCGATTAAGAATCTACACTTCTATGATTTGATTATTTACTTCATGCTCGGCTCTCCATATCTATAGATGAACGAATTTGAGATAGATGTGACCGAACGCCTGTATCCCTACCTTAATTAAGTGTGATATGATGTGATGAAGGTTGTATTGCATGCTATAAGCATGAAATTCTTTTAAATCATTTGAAATGTTAGAGTCCTAAAAGGCTCCAACCTCAACATCCTATTCAGTAATAATCCTGACCAACCAGGTTCGTATACTCTTTCACTCTATTCATGACGCTGACAGATTTATTCATTAGAAGTAAGTTTCGAGAATAGCCGTAAATTTTAAATAAGAGTTCTAGTTACCCTGGGTCACACAAGGTGATGAAAGAGTATTAATTGAATTTTCCCTTGGGAAGGAAGGCTAGGTGAAATTCAATAAAAACGTAAGACCCAATCATACAGATGTAGGAAGCTTCAACTATCAGTCCTTCATCATTTTATGTGACCTAGGGTGGTATTTGCCTTGTGCCCCAAAGGCACTGTTGGCAGTGGTTAACGTGTCGAGATTATACACTGCACCACCTGGGGTCGAATCCTGCTGGGGGAGCAAATGAGACAAAGGCGAATTCGAAACTTCAGTCCGCCCTAGATGAGAAGACCTTCTGAGAGGCAAGACTATGTGAAATTCAAAGGAAACGTGAGGCTTGCTAAGATCGTTATTGGAAAAATTTAACTACCGGTCCCTCAACATCCTCAAGGAAACAGGGTAAATAAGTCTCATTAAAAAATGTAAAGGCAAGGTTTGAAGCAAAGCCTGTTACTATGATAGTTCCAGGTAAAGGCAGGCCCGGTTTTGAAGTTTCAATAGTACAGAGTGTAGCAAATAAAGCCTGCCTGCTTCATAGGATGGAGTCGTTTCTCAGCTAATGTCGGGTGGTCCCCTCTGGAATAGCCGCACTCCTATGTCCAGGTACTCCAATACTCAGGGTCTTCGTGACAAAACTCACGAGCAAGAATGTAATCAGACCGTTAATTAAAAAACCTGGTGAGTTGAAGCAATTTCCTAGCAATTTTCCACGTCTCACCGGCGTTATATCCGTTTGCCTAGCAAACAACTCATTACAAATTACTGAGGTGGGTGCGGAGGCACGTTTTTATCAGGTAGACCTAGTGATTCGCTATCTCTCAACTTTTTTCTGACCCAAATGGTTAAGCAGGCGGCCTTGCTCCGGACGATGTAAGCTTGAGTTATCCAAGCCGTTTTTCTCTGTATGACGCAGTTAAGTTTATGAAGTTGGCATGGAGTTAGGGGAAACTTAGATGTTTAAGCCTCGCAGATGCTGGTCCTTCTTTGGATTCATCCTTTTACTTGGGAACAATATAGTTTTGGGTATAAGCGAGCCCAAAGCACAAGGGTAGCTCGAAGAGGCTAAGGTAAAGCAGAAGATTTACTTCAATTTGAAGCCAAACTATCAAACTGGGGTTGCTTGGCGAAAAGCACGACTATGAAGAAGATTTTTAGGCGATATAGGTTGACTTTTGCTTGACTACTCTGATACAAGTCCGAGAATAAAAGCCGTTTAGAGCAGTACTGTTCATTTTAGTCAAGGTTTATTCTCCTTTTTTATTAGCTGCGGTGAAACTCTTGGGTGCGTACGTCAAACGAGCGAAAATTCGCGCCTACTGGTTAAATGCTAGTTCGAAATAGCGAAAATAAAAGCCCAAAGCTGTTCAAATTTCTCTTAAACGATAGGCTACACAAGAATGTTAGATGCTTCGAATTGGCGTTCTCCAATCCTGCGCAGAAGAAATGTTCGTTATCCTACCGCAAGCATTCGGTTTCCCTAACGGAGCTCGTCTGTAACTCTGGCCTCGCTTGGCTCATTCAGAAACTGCTGAAACTCGGTTCCCCACGTGACGCCACCGTCTTGATAGAATAGTGTAGAACTCAACGGTATATTCTTATCAAAGAGTTGTGTTCAGTCTAAGATAACGGAATAAACGATTTTTAAGGTAAATCCGGAATCTGTCTCTAAAAGGTTTTGGAAGGAAGCGACGGATAGGTTGGCTCCATTTTTGAACCATACATGCAGCAAACGAGAAGGAGGCAATACACTTTTTTTACAAGTTACTAACTGAAGGCTAATAACAATGAGACTAACTTTAAGTAAGGGTAAAATTTCTGCTGTGCAAAGTAGATTTGAAGAATTTAGGAAGAAGGACTTACTGTCTATATTTAGAAAATAGCGTGACTGGTTAAAGACACAGAGATGAAGCAAAACGAGTGCCATT